CTGAGGGCTATCAGGAGGGACTATGCGCTTACCTGCTGCTCTCTGGCAGGTAGCTCCATGCCCTCCTGGGTTTTAAATGCACCTTAGAACACACATGCATCAACACTACATATGAGCGGGCGGAGGGAGGTTTGGAGTCTTCACACACCCCCGTTCTCTGCGGCCTGCTGGAGCGGGGGGGCTAGGAGGAGGAGTTGGCCGTCCGACTGCGGTCTGGAGTGTGGGGCCTCCCTGCTGCTGCGGAGTCGGGGCGGTCTGCCTTCCCCCACCGCAGGGAAAAGGGTAACACCACCTGGGTCTGGGTGCAGTTCCCCCCTCCAGGGGCAAGGGTACCTAGACCCGGTTCGTAGAGTACGCTTGGGGAGTGTGATCGTGTGTACAGCGTCTCTTTATGTCTGTCTCCACGTTGGTTGAGTGTGGAGTAAGTGCATATGAGAGCATGAGGGTGGGAATGGATGTTTGTGTCTGTGTGTGCCTGTATGTCTGTGTCTATATGTCAGGTTGGGTATCAGACGCCACCTCTCTGGGGACATCTCAGGCCCTCCAAGGTTTGGAGGCCTATCTCCCCCACCACCACTTCCCCTGCCAGTGGCGGACTCCCTCAGGTGTCGGTGCGTTGGTGGTTCTTTGTGTCTGGGGATGGGCGTCCAGGTACACACCGGCTCACTCCTTGGCGGCCGCTTATCGGGGCCTGGAGCCTGGGGCTCGCTCGGGCCACTTCGGAGGTGGGGTGCCCCCGGCCTCTCGGCCTGGGGCTCGGTCACTCAGGCACAGCTGGCTGCCGGCGGAGCTCACGGGCACGTCACTGCAACTCCCCCTGGCTTCTGCTCCGCGGCTGCTGCTTGTTTTCTCTTTTTTCTTTCTCAACAGGTGATCCAGGTGATTGATATATGGATTTTTTGTCTGCTTATTTTGTTGGTTTTTGTTTTTTGCCCTTTATCCCCGTCCCTCTTCCCCGCTGTTTTTCTTTCCCTCTTTCTTTCTCCCCTTCTTTTCCCCAGTCAAATCTGTCAGTCTTTACAGGTGAAAATAAAATAAAATAAACAATAAAAGGTGAATCAAATAGACCATTACGGCAAGGCTGGGATGGTGTATTTGGTAAAGTAAATCCGTTGGGCATCTTTCTTCATCTTTAGACAATAATTCTGATGGCAAAAGAGCCAAACGGGACAGGCAAGAAAAAAAAATGTAGGTGTTTCCCACAGAGAAACTGAATGATCACACAGTCAGTCCCAAGTGCTCTGCCAGCCTTTCTGGCACTACCCCTCAATCCCACTACTAAAGGGGGAAAGAGAAATGATACAAATGACAAATAATGACCAAAAAAATAAATAAATAATTAAATTAAATAATAATAATAATAATTATCATTATTTTGTAATTAAATAATAATTATAAAATTAAATAATTAAGTAAAACAAATCAGGAATGAGAATCAACTGAAAGAAGGAATACACAGAGATGATAACACTAATGTATTAATAATCTACACTAAATGCTATACCACGCTGATCTCAAGCAGTACATTGGTTTATTTAATTGAGTTTACATTATTCATGCAAATATCTTTATATAAGAGCCTGATTGGCCATCTTTCTCATGATAATCCTCAACATATAAGGCCCATTTTGCATAAAGCTCCAGAACAAGGGCAGCTGAATGCCATTTTATATTTCTTCCATTTCTGAGTAATTCCACCAAAAGTTGTGACCTTCTCACCCTGCTTCTTGCTGATAGTCTTGCAGCCCATTCCAGCCTTGTGTGGGTCTAAAATCTTGTTTTCCTTTGAAAGCTCTTGTGTCTTGTGGAAGAAGTTGCAGTGGAAGAGACTCTCTCTGTGGATAGGTGTGCTTTATACACAAAATGAGTTGAGATACGACGTTTCTTTCATTGATTGCTTAATTGATTGCAATTTTGGGTGCCAGAATTCTAGCTGGTTTGTGCTTGGAAATAAAAGTTTCTCCCCAACATGCCACTGAGTGTTTTATTTCACTCAGTGGCATGTTTCATTTTTATTAGTTTTGATGTATATTTTGTCTGAATTAAAAAGAAAGAACTTTAAAATATAGAGACCGTTGCTTTTATTGTAAGTAAGCACAAACCACAAATTGGGTGGGTGGGTTTGAATTTGCAAAGGGTGCATGGGTGTGTGCCCAACCATTCTACATGTGTTTAGTGGACTTGAGGAAGGCAGGAGATTGGTGAGGATAGCTGGCATTAATTCACACTCATTCCTGGTGGGTGTTGCACACTCCCAGGGCTTCCCTTTGTCACTGATTTTGCTCAGAATTTTTATGGACAGCATTTCTAGGCATAGAGAGTTGCAGAAAGATTCCAGTTGGGCAGTTTTATAATCTCATCTCTGCAGCTCAATTCATGCAGACAGTTAACCCTTCAGCAACAACAACAACAACAACAACAAACAAGAACACAAGCAATGTCAGAGTTACCTTTACTTTCAGATTACGTCTAACTTTCATGCTATTTATATAAAGACTAAAAATACGCTAAACTTTGGTCCTTGTTGTGAAAACGTCATGGTATGAATGAGACATTTTCCATAAAGGGGGAAAATGCACACTGTATCAAGGTCCATAAGAATAACTTTCTATAAAAAATAGGATAAATTTGTACTGAAATGGCAATATGTTTTTATGAAAAAAAGTCATCCTATCAGTCCAGGAGATTGTTGTGTGGGTGCAGATCCTGAAAACATGAATCACTGTCTCATTATGCAATGCATACAGTGCAAAAGTCCTTTTTGTATTTTTGGTTCAAGAATATATACACAGGATAACAGTTATGAATAATAATAAAAAAAAGATAATAATAATAAAAAATGTCACCTCTATTACTTGTTTGACCAGTTGGAACTTTCTATGTAAAAGCCATGAGCATTTCCAGTTAATGTTATTGTTCAAAAGGACAGGGGATGGTTGTTTGATTTCCTTCTTGTTGTTTAATCATTAACCCCGACCTTCAGTAAGAAAACTGAGACCTACTATTCTTTCGATGTTGTTCTAGCTTATTTTATTACTTATAGATAAATCATTAATGCACTCTTTGAGTAATTTTGATTGACTACAGCGGCCACTCATGGCATGTTCACAGGCAAATTTTCAGCTATCAGCAGCTGTTAAAGACAGCGAGTCAGTGATAGATGTGACAATATGTCTATCCAAATAGTTGTAGCACAGCTTAACACCATGAAACTCATGGCTCTTAATTTCAGATACAGCCTGAGAGAGTAAAGCTGTGACGTCCGAGGCTTCACTCAATACATCACAGCCTCAGTACCTGATTCAGTTGTTTGTAATGAAGTGATTCATTGGCAGGATTTGTGGCGTATTTTTGGTGTGAGAAACAGGGAAACAGTGTGCGTTCATAAGCAATTCTACCCACAGGTCAAAATACAACAGAAATAGACTATACATATAAACCATACTATATTATATATAAAGGTTTCTGTCCACTGGACAGTAACATAACCCTGGGAGAGCAGGGAACTTACAGCACAAGGGTTACTCCCCATTGCATGTGTGTGTTGTACATTATTGTATATAATGCAACGTGACCCTGAATTAGATAAGTGAAAGAAAATGGATGGATTTTTAACTTTTATGTTCACACACGTCAAGAGGTCAAGCATGAGGGAAACCACATCATGGCCAATGTTTAAACAAGGAAGGTTAGCTCATCAAAATTATTTATTTATGAAATAGATATAACATTATTTTTTCAATCCCCAAAACATACATGATCAAAGCACCACAACAGTAGCCCAGTATCACACAACATTGAAGCAACATTAAAAAACAGAAGCTGCAGGCTCAGCTCGGTAGATTGGACAATCATAATGAAGCAGTTCATTTTAAGTTGCGGATTCAAGCAACCTTTCGTATTTTTGAGCACCAAATGGCACCCAATAGGCATTAAAACTCAATGCAAATAGCTGAGAATCACATAAAGCTCACTACTCCCCCAATTAACTCATATATGCAGCTAAATGGCTCTATAAAAGTTAAACCTAGTCTTGACAAATCACTTCATTATCTGAAAACATCCAGGTCATCGTAGTCTAAGGAGCTTGCAAAGAAAAGCGTCTGGACTTCTTTAAGTTGCTTGAAGACGTTTCACCTCTCATCCGAGAAGCTTCTTCAGTTCTAAGGGTCAAATGGTGGAGAGTCCCAGATTTAAACCCTGTGGGAGTTTCCCCCCACAGAGGGACAAAAGGACCCCTGATGATCCTCTACTTAATCACATGACCAGTTTTCACACCTTGGCTCATGTGATTATGTAAACTTATGTTTGGAGCTGTTACCACTGTTTCTGTTTGTCTTCTTACATAACAGCATCAATGGTTTCAACCAGTCGTGTGATTCACTCAGGAACCTGAAGGGACGTTATCCTTCACCCTTTATTTATTTATTTATCGCATGAAGCAAGCTGTGGAGCAGTTGTTCAAGGAAACTGCAATAGTATTGGCCAAATGAAGCTTACTGAGAAACTGAAGCGTGTATCAAAAAATGGTTCATTACCAGAAGCTTTTCAACACATCCCATTTGGCGCCATCTGGCGGCCAAAAAAAATACAGAGCCGCTTGAATCGGTGCCTTGTGGCCATCGCTAATACGTAGAGAATAGTGTGCTTAATGTGTAAAAAGTTAATGCTTATGAGACAAGTAATGAGTATACCAACTGTTAACCCACTTTGTCACACTGTGAGATACAGCAGCTGAACCTTTAGCGTTAACACACTGCGCGTCAAACTGCACACAGTTTGTGTGTTTGCTGACACTTGTTGAGCTGATAGAAATGTTGCATTTGAAATGACCTACCACAAAAAATCCTTTATATTTGCTGCTTTTCAGTAGGACTAACAAGATGCTGAAGTACCACAACCACAACTTACAAAGACCGGCACTCATTCTGGCCCACTTTAACCCCTGAGTATAAATGAAACTAATGAGCCTGTGCTGAAAATGTAAAGAGTAGAAAGTGTAGATATGTGTTTAAAAATGTAAAAGCTAAAAGTAAAAAAATTTGTATTTTTACACTTCCCACCTCTGCCTGCTACGCTTTAGTGATGGATGAGGATCCTTTAGAGATGGGGTCTTAAAAATGTTTAACATCTCTATCACTTTGAAAAGATTTACCATAACTTAACCAGCTGTGCAAATACTCCAGTATCATACCATTCATAATTTATCCCAACCCCAGGATAAAGAGGTTGGGTGAATGCAGTCTGGACTTTATGGATTAGAACCATTGGGTCAGAGACGCGATAAAAACACAGAGTGCCTGCTTTATAATCCAGGAAGACTCCAATCTTGCAGAGACCAGAGCCGGGCACTTTGGTTTCTACATTATTGTGACAGAATAAAAAGCCGTCTGCTGTGCAGTCTAAACTCCAGGACTTGTCATTTTTGCCAAACTGTGACTCATCAGATGTCCGGCTGATGTTTTTATAAGCCACTGCTACAGACAGAATGCGAGCATGTCCCTCTACCTCCCAGTAACACCGGTCTGCCAAACCCTCCCTGCACAGCACCTGGGGAAATTTAGTGAATCTGTCCAGATGAGCTGAAGCCTGGCCGGGTGAAGGTCTCATCCTGCGATTCTCGCATATCAGGTGGAGATAACGATAGTTTGAGGTCCCATCCAGCGTGAGGGGATAAACATCTGGCAGAAAATAGAGCAAGTATGATCAATATTACCACTATTTTCAACTGTAACTGACTAATATATTATTTTATAATGTTTCAAGTGAATTTCATACAACGTAAAAACTCTTCTCTGCTGCTGGGGGCTGGAGGTAGTGAGAAGTCAACATATGAAACTGTGAAGAAACAAACTGGAGTTATTTTAAAAAATCACTGGGTATGTATGAAGCAACTTATCCACAACGCTCTCTTTTTTCTTTTCCAGCTGTTACCTGTGGCTGAGATCATGGGCCATGTTTCTTTCAGTGACATTTCCAGTTTATCTTTGAGCTCAGACAAACACTCGGTTATGTCTTTAAAGGAGCGTTGAGGAGGAGCTCCAGGTGAGCCATCTGGAGAATCCCAGGATGCTGTGAATTATAAGGAGAAGACAAAAATGGTCATTTTTTTAAGCAACCCATCATAAATCTAAACGATCTCATACAGGTTTACGATATCTGCTGTAATGTTCATTTTCGCCATTTGGATCGAATTGTGCTCAGTTTTTTTGGCCTTTGAAATCAGGTATTTTACAGGAAAACCTTTGCTAGGTTGTGAGCAGCTATACCTGCATCAGATATATGAGGTCATCTGCATCCGAAGCTTTTTCCAGTTCAGCGTATGTTCTCTTCAGCTTTGTAATCTCCTCCTTCAACTGAGACTGGTGGTCCTCCACCTGAGCGGTGGCAGTTTTTTCTTGGGCTTTAATCAGCTGCTTCACCTCACTCTGTTTTCTTTGCATGGAAGAGATGAGCTCATCGAAGATCTTGTCACAGTCGTTCAGGGAAATCAGAGCAGAACTCTGTTGGCACATCGCAGATCTGTTTTTAGTTTAAAAGTTTATCTTTATTCAGTTAAAACAACAACCCGACTTGATCTTTGAACCCCACAGACCGAGACAATTGTAGAGGATATGTTAAGCATTAAAAGACGCTAAGTTAACAACCACCTGTGGTGCAGAAATCACACCTAAAGACAGAATGCTAAACTAAAAGTCATCAGATGAGAGGAATCAGTGTTTGTTGATGCTGCTAATGAATTTGCAGATCAACAGCATGTCTCTCAAAGTAAAGGTAAAAAGAGCAAATCAAAAACAAATGCTGAGAGCAGTGCTCGTTTGTGCCCTCAAGTGGGTAAAAATCTTATTGCAAGTTTGATCAGAGCTAAATACTGAGTGTTACGATTCGGTGTTGTCAGTGTTTTGTTTTAGGCGTGACTGTTATGTTTCCTGTTTTACTTTGAAGGTCTGTTGTATCTCAGTGTGTTCAGTTCACCTTTTTTTTGTCTCGTCAGGTCTGATTTGCACCAGCTATGTTAACGCACTAAAACTCATTTCAGCAGCTATCTTATTCACCCAGCAGATGAATGCACATATCAGATCTGAAAACATCGCTTTTCCACACCTCGAGACTCTCCTTGGCTTGGCTCAGTTCTTTCAGCTTCTTCTCTTTCTTTTCGACTTTGTCCTGGATTTTCCTTTGATTTAAAGCCAGCTGATTCTGCAAGAAGGCACGGTTGCATCCAGTGAGTCATTTAAATATTAGTAATCAGTAATGTTATTAACGAGTACGTCTGATGGCCACGTGTCGTTTGGGAGCACAGAAACATTTGGACTTTGAAAGGTAGCATTATGTGCTTGACTCCTTGCCCCCACCTTTGCCTTATCCTTGAGTGCTGAAGCGGAAACACATCCGTGGCCCTTGTGCTCATCCACTATGCACAAAGAGCAAACAAGCTGCTCATCTTGCTCACAGTAGAGCTCCTTTAACTTGCTGTGCTTGGTGCACATTTTCTCCTGTATTGACACTGTAGCTGCCACCAGCTCGTGCTTCTTCAACACAGCAACACTGTAGTGAGGCTCGAGGTGAGTGGGACAGTAAGATGCCAAGCAGGTCAAACATGACATGGTGGCTTTGATTCTGATCCCACAGCAAAAGTCACAGGCAACATCTGTTGGGCTGGCATAGACCAGAGAAGGACATGTTGACTTTGTGCTCTTTAGCTTATTCACAACCTAGATAGAAAGACAGAAACTGTTAGGATGTGCTGTAAATAGAAATAGAATATTTTTGAGGCTGGCTTCATAAGGAAGTGTGTTCACATAAAAATGGTTAAAATGCCCAACTCTGGAGCTCAAACAAATATGTTGGTACAAACTGGTACAAAACCAGTTCCACTTGTTTAATTATATACACAATTACAGGAAAAAGGGGGGATGATTCTTATGTAACAATACGACTAATACGTTATCTGTGAACTACAGAGTCTGTGCTAAGTTCATTTCTGTCCCCTCACCTCAGCCAGCATGTTGTTCCTCCTGAGAACAGGCCGATGGCTGAATGTCTCCCTGCACTGAGGACAGCTGTATTCACCCTTCTCCTCCTCTCCATCCTAGCAATGCTCAATGCAGCTTTTACAATAACTGTGTCCACAATAAATGGTGACGGGTTCTTTCAGAAGATCCAAACACACTGAACAGGAAAACTGAATGCAGTCCAGGTCAACTCCATGTGGCTCATCTTGCTGACTTTGCTGTTTGCAAGCCATTTTAGTTGTAGTATTATTAAGAAACAGAACTGGACTGTCCCTGAGTTGATGTATCTCTGAAGATCTTGGCAAATAAAGCAGCAACTGTCTGCTTTCAGCAGAAGTGGAGAAGTGGAAACAGGTCAAGTGTTGAAGTGCAGTCAACGTCCACCCACTTTAATTGTCGTCACATTTGCGTTAATGATTCATTTTAAAGGGCAAGATAGAACAAATTAGTTTATCAGTCATAGAGACTAGTGAGCATACAGAGTCTATAATTCACTGCTGCGTTCTTTCAGAGTCTGAGGAAAGCTCTTGGGGAAGAATAACAAGGCTTACATTGTAGTTTTACACTGTAGTACTGTTTGTTGCCTTGTTTGTGTTGTCCATTCATTGTTGTGTCATCTCCTACACATTACTGTTAACCACAAAGTAACCTTAAAACAACCAAGAATCAACTGCATGTTTTTTAAAACATGTGTAACAATAAAATGCAAAAAATACAAACTCACTCTTTTTTTTTTCTCAAGTCCACAAAGGAGTCGTTCTAAAGACTGACGGTTGCCAAGTCTGTAAGGGTGAAAAAGCTAGCAAAACAGATTTGGAGAAAAATTAATCTGCAATGAGATTAAATGCTGGTAGATTAAGCTAAAAATACAATAAAACAATGTAAATGCAGGATGACCCAAACTGTACATCCAGGACAGATTTGCTCATTAATAAAATAAGGTAACTATCCAAGTCTTGCACAGTAAATATATGGACTACGAGTACAAACCACAAACATCCAACATTTCATGTACTACTAACACACTGCTCTTGCCTTTCTTTACTCTTAAGATCCAGAACTTGACCTATCACCGCCTTGTGGGTGTTTCACATATGCAAACATACTTAATAGACCTTCTTATTGCTGGTAGTGGCATCTCATGACACACATACATTTATTTTTTTGCTAGAGTTCCCCCCATTGATCAGAGCATGTAAGTGCAGTATAACAATTCTGCCTAAAAGCAGTATTCTCAAAACGAAAGAAGAACTGGACAAAATGGAAAACTCCCCAGAAATTAGTTTTTTTTTTATTGCTTAAAAGCAACAGGGACAAAACGGGGTCAACAATATCTTAGAAATATGTAACATGACTAAATATTCCATGACAAGTTAACAAAACCGACTCCCACCACAGTTTTTTTTGACTTGTTGACTTATTTGTCTGTGATGCTTCTCGGTCTGAGACATTCGTCCGCAGGAAAAAAATATGACTACAATGCATTAAGGCCCTCAGAAGATTATGCAAAAAGTCCACAAAAAAGGTAACTGCTAGATAAGTATTCAACAATTTGCCAACAAACCTGATTCCAAATAATTTAACATGTTCTCTTCGATGTATGTAGTATTATTATGCAGTTATTATGTGTAGTGTAAGGACATCAAGAAATAATAAGATGCTTTTTTCCTTTTCACTACCTGGATAATAATTATAAAAATCTCACTTAAACCTGATAAGAGACTTTCCTTTCTCCACTATAGCCTCACACGCTCTCTGTGCAGCTTCTGATGGTGACTTAGCATCATTAGCTGCTTCATTTCCAATGAAGCCACCAAATACTCCTCCTGCTGCTGCTGCTGCCACACAAGCTGCTCCAGCAACTCCTACAGCTGCTTCTCCTGCTGCTGCTGCCGACACTCCCATTAATGCTGGAGCCTTTTTTACAGCGTTCATTAACATTACGTTATTCATGGCTGTGACAGCTAATCCAACCATTGCTGCTACACCAAAAAAAGCACCGAGCAAAGCTCCTGTTGCAATCCCTGTCAGTTTGGTGAGAAAGCTGTTGCACACATCAGTTTTAGCCTGCTTTCTGATCTCTTCTGCAGTTTTATCTGGCATTGAGTACGAAATGTGCTCGACCTGTTTCTGTATTGCTGTCTCCACATGTTGCAGCATTTTATTTGTGTAGTAACCTCCGTTTTTTTCCACCACCATTTTTTCTATTGTTTTTAGCAACTCCTCCCGCTGGAACTGGTTGCTCCTGTAGTTGTTTGGCTGGTTGTTGTTCCAGTGTTTGCTATCAAAGACGTGACACCGACCACCACACTTTGACACCAGATCACTCAGATTTTTGTTCTGACTGACAAAATCTTCAATTTTTATATTTTTGTCAAGCTGGTCACCGTGAGTGAAAACAACGACAGCATATTTTAGAGCTTCATCTGAGAAATACTGAACTATCTTAGTGATGACAGCCTGCTCGTGCTCTGTGAA